TTGAACTCCCATAGATTGGTGGTAAGATGAGTTTTGTAATGAATTTTCAGGTTAATCTGGAATATCTTGGACGGGTTGTTTTCAACACTGATGGTGTACTCTACCCTGATAGTGTTGTTGGAACTGATTCCCATACAACTATGATAGATGGGTTGGGAGTTGCTGGCTGGGGAGTTGGTGGTATTGAGGCTGAGGCAGCAATGCTTGGCCAGGTAACTATTGCCTGGAAAAATAGTACATTATGTTTCTGTTCTGTACATTTGGTTCATGGTGATTTAATGTCTGTAGTTAAGGCCTCTATTCTAATTATGGTTTAACAAGGTTGTGCTACAGCTGAATTGACTGCCAATTTGTTTGCACGCCACATGCCACATGCCACATGCCAAGAGGCACAGTTAGAAGTGAACTTGACGTTAACATGAAAGTGTTGATTCTTTTTTAACTTGTATCAATACAGAATGCTAATATGTTTAAAACTAGTTTTTTTCTTGCATCCCTCATTTGTTCCATTTCTTCTTTCCTTTACTCTTGTACATTCTGACCATTATACTTGTTAATAATTCAATAACTTAAGAGAAATCACAGTGGTTTTCCCCCAAAAGTTCTCTAAATGTTCTTATCATAGTATTATCCATGTTTCTAATGTTATGTCGTTCAATGTTGACAGCCCATGAGCATGGTATTGCCTGGTGTTGTTGGGTTCAAGTTATCTGGAAAGTTATGCAGTGGCGTGACAGCTACTGACTTGGTTCTAACTGTGACACAAATGCTGAGGAAGCATGGTGTTGTTGGCAAATTTGTTGAGTTTTACGGTATTCATATTCTCTTTGAACTGAAAAGTAAAAGTTGCATGCACAATTCTCATATTCCTCTTATTTATAACTTAGTTATTTTTTTTCCTCTTTTATGGTTGTAGGGAATGGTATGGGTGAACTTTCATTGGCTGACAGGGCTACCATTGCTAACATGTCTCCTGAGTATGGTGCAACCATGGGATTCTTCCCTGTAGATCATGTTACTTTACAGTATCTCAAACTGACTGGCAGAAGTGATGAAACTGTGAGTCTTACTGCTCTTTTGTATAATTGCTTGCAATCTGGAAGATCTTGAAGGACTAAGTCAATATTGTCCATCTTTTTAGGTGGCAATGATAGAAGCATACCTTCGTGCAAATAAAATGTTTGTTGACTATAATGAGGTGAGAATTTTCCTCCTGTATAATTGTTTTTTTAATTCTTAATTTTGACATTTGGACCAAATATGATCTCTTTCTTTTGTTTGCTGGTCTTGTCTGAAACTCTGGTCCTTTGTATTCAGCCTCAGCAAGATAGGGTGTACTCATCATATCTGGAGCTAAACCTTGAAGATGTTGAGCCCTGTGTTTCAGGACCAAAGAGGTGCACTTCGTGGTTGCTTTATATCTTGTCTGTTTGAAAGGCATTATCTTGCTTGCTTTTCTTCTTCTCATCTTATTCATTTGTACTGATAATTTTCAACTCAATAATGACTGCTACTTCTTTTTAGACCACACGATCGTGTTCCTTTGAAAGAAATGAAGGTCGACTGGCATTCTTGTCTCAATAACAAAGTTGGTTTCAAGGTGAGTTTTCAACCTTCTGCTTATCTGAATTTTTTTTATCTTCAGCTTCAATAATAAACCATGATCTATTTCTGGAGATTGCTTGGACATTTTTCTGTTTATCTCTGGTCTCATTGGTTGAAAGAAGCATACTGCATATAAGCTTTTGTATGATATTCAGAATTCAAGCAGATGAGTTATGACTGGCACTTGTGTATCTTTCAGAAATAGTTACTTTTTAAAAATGTTTTAACTATTTTTGAACTTATAACTACCATGCAGGGTTTTGCCATACCAAAAGAGGAACAGGACAAAGTGGCAAAGTTTTCATTCCATGGGCAGCCAGCAGAACTTAAGCATGGCAGTGTGGTGATTGCTGCAATCACAAGCTGCACCAATACATCGAACCCTAGTGTCATGCTTGGGGCTGCTCTTGTTGCAAAAAAAGCCTGTGAACTTGGTTTAAAGGTTAGACGTCATCAATATTAACATGTGTCTTT